ATTTATAGCTTTACTGCCTTTGTCCCATTGTAGCTTTTCAGTGACATTGCCAGGAATCCTTATCAGAGTATCTAGCCCACATGCCTGGGTCATTCCTATGACTCCTTTGAAATAATAGCTCCAAGCTTCACTTTCTCCTCTATCTTCTGGAGTTTTCTATCACTTAAAATGCCAGATATGCTTGAATGTAAGTAGATTCCGAGTTTTTACACTTAACAGATCTTGTTTATTCTTTAATAAAGAGTATGTGAATTTAAGTGTTCGTAAAACGTCCAGGCTTGTCAGTCAGTCTGAATTCAGCAATGGAATTGAGGAGGTATTTTGGATGTCTTTTGGAGGTTTTTCTGTGCACACATCTCAATCTGATGTAAGAAAATACAGTATTTTCCCCTTTAATAAGCTACAGCATAGCCTAGCTGAACATGCATATTTTTTACAGCCTATAGTAAATTGTTTTCCTTGCTACATTCTTGTCTTTCTGCCCTTTGCAATGTGAGTAATACTGGCATAGTTCACCCAACATTCAAATTTAGTAGTCTGCATTTAGAGATGATGTTTGAGAGAAGGAAAATGTAAATAACGGAGCTGACTATGTGGGCTTAAACCTACTTCAGCCACAGAACACTTCAGTCAGTTTAATAGAGTTTATAAAGCAGATACGAAAGGCAAAACCCAGTTAACATGTTCAACAAAATGCAGGTTTAAATTTCTCACTGAATCATTTTATTTTTTAACAGTAAAAAGGGTTTTTGTCCCAAATCAGGATTTCCTAAGTGTATCTTCACTCAAATTTCAAACATTTAAAACCAGAGGGGTTAGCCATCAGTGATACAAAAGTGAGTCTTTTTTTTTCCTGATTTTTCTTTAAAATATGCTGAAATTTTGCAGAAAACTGGTATCTGTGTGGAAAAAACCGACTCTTCTTTGACCGAGTCGAATTCAAGCTTTGGCTTGATCTGTATTTAGTCACTGTGAATGTAGTTTAGATCTTCTTTCACTGCTATGCAGATCTTCCTCGGTGGCCTGCCGGTGTAACTTGGCCATACTGAGGCACTGCCCATTTTGAACGGAAAAAATTACAGAATACACTATGTACTGGTATTACTTTGCCTCCCTGACCTATGATTTTTACAGTAGGCCACATGGCTGAGGTTTCTGTCTGAAATGACTGGGAAACTGCCAAGCTAATACAGGCTCAACTGGGATTCTTCTGATGCAGGTGGTTTCCCATCTATTGGTAGCTGCGCTAAGACAAACTTATTTTGCACTAGGCTATAATTACCATGTTAGGTGTTAACTTGGGAGTTTCATTTTTCGTTTCCTTTGCTGTACTTACTGCACAGCATCAGTTGTAACGTGGCGTTTAATCAATGAGAAACTCAGGAGGCAGATACTAGATTTCTAATTTGCGACAGAAGAGACAAGCACTTGACGTTTTACGTAGATTTTTTTTTTTTAAGGCAGAAATATTTTCATAAGGTAAATAGTCAAATACACAGGTTAGAAGCTTGACCATCTCCACTAAGAATAAGCTGCTTCTGCTGTGTTCAGCTCTGGTAGTAATTGGTAACGTGCATTCCCAGTTTTCAGAGATGCTTTGGAATGTGAATTGGGACACAGCTTATATTTTTTTTCTCATTTTACTTTATAATCATATACAATTTCTGTCCTTCTAGGTTTTACATATTTTAATAGGCTTTTACGTGTTTCTGGTTTATTCCTTATTATCTTAGTGATACAGTAGTAAGATGCAAAAGCTGTGTATGAGGGGAAGGGAAGGAGAAGGTGGCTGGTTAACCTTACCGCTTTTAAAACCAACTATCTTCTGTAAACATATTCTAGGACACAAAACCTTACACTGATAAATAAACACAAAGAAGCACTCTGTACCATCCAACACCTACTTTATTTTGCCTTTTATTGAAAAGAACCACCAAATGGTGTTTTACTCTGAGTAATTACCTTAGGTGTTTAAAACAAAATCTTCAGCAAAAAAATTATTTTGCTTTTTTTAAAAATACACATCACTGTGACAGGCAGTCTCCTACCCATTGCTAAAAACGCCTACGGTTTCCTAAAATAACAACAAAAGGTTTTCAGCATTGCAACTATTAAAGCAGAGAGTCAAAACCAGAAAATGTCATGTGGTTTACTCATTGCATCAGGTAGTTACTACCATTCAGCATTCATGAATGCAATTAAAAAAAAAAAAAAAAAGACAACAAGCAGACATTGGGTTTTACCAATTTTATTTCTAGACTTTAGTTTTTTTGCTGGAAACTTGTCCGTTACAGGTCTGTTGGTGAAAATGTGCATTTCAGACCAGTGATGCCAATAAGTACAATATAAAAATGTACAAATCTGAATTGCTTGCTTACTACAGATTGATATAATAATGTGACAAATAAAGCATCTCTGTTGGCACGTGAACCCACTTCATCTGGATTTGGCCTTTTAGTACATACAATATTTTAAAGAAATTTGCAGTACACACTGCCACTCAGTGTAACACATAATATAACCAACAAGCACTAACTCAATAATCATGTTTGGTTCAGAGACACAGAGATGCCACAAACAGAAGTGTTTTATGAGGTAAGCAGTAAGAAAATGTTCCTGAAATTTGGACAGAATGTATCCAGTCCTCCTGGGTCCTGCGACTGCTAGTAGCATTGCAATGCTTTATTTATGCACTATGTAGGATCTTAACTGCATTTGCCTCAAAATGAGTTCTAATTCTGTTTTGGTTTAGCAGCATACAGGCAACAGCTAGATTATTCTTCAGCATACAACTCTGTTAGCTGGCTTATTTATGAGATTTACAGGCTTTTTAAATTAGCATTATGCTATAATTAAAAAAAAAAAAACACAAACAAAAAACTAGTATATCATAACAGATTAAACACACAAAATACTTAGAGTTCCAGAAGATAACCTATCATACCAAATGATGCGTCCCAGCTGATGGGAAACCACATCAGGTGGCATACAAGAGTTATATTATAATGCACCTTTCATATATCAATGTGGCTAATAACACAGCTTAAAACTACTATGATAATAAACCCCAGATCAGACAAAGAATCCAGCTTTATAAAATGCATAACAACAAAAAAACTGACATTACTTGATCTTCTGAAATGTCTGCTGTTTTTAAATTAACGCAACCTAGTTGCAAATCGCGAGACCCATTCAGAATAACGTTCGATGCATTTCCGTTTGCAGTAGAACTATGAGGCACTGTGTACGAACATTAAAACCTGGTCTAGACACGGTTAACTGAAGTATGAGGTATTGTGAAACAGGAACCTTTTTGGAATAGAGCAGTAATCACATTAAGTAAAAATTGATCACATAAAAAATCTACAAAAAATGATGTCAATAATATAATTTTCTATGAGAAAATTAAAACCTATAACATGGCAGTATATGACATTGTATAACAAAAAAAAAAAAAAAAAACTGATCCACAAAATAGCAGCAAAACACAATGACAAAGATACAGAAAAGCAATGTTAATTTTTTTTTTTCAAACCATGCTGGGAATTTATCCATAGCAGCTCAATAAAAATGGAGCATCCACTCCTTTTCTTTTCTCTTTTTCTTTTTTTTTTTTAATTTTAAAATTTTTTTCTTTTTTCCTTTTTTTGTTGTTTTTTTGTTGTTTTGTTTTTTTACAATCAACACCTTAGCGGCAGTTTTCTCACATACATTTCACCATCACATTCTCCTCGAGCATCAACTTCAACAGCTATGTCCACGTCCCTTCAGCTACTTTCTAAAATAATAATAAAAAGATACATAGCCAAGATGTGCAAATTTTCTATGTGTAGCTAAATAAAAAAATGGGGCATATACTGGAATAAGAACTTCTTTCAAGTACTCCAATTTTCGTATCTATTAACTATGGCGTTTTCATGGTTAGACTGCTTTTGAAAAATGTATAGGAAGGGGCCAAATAGACTGCTTGGTTTGGGTCTGTTCTTTGAAGCGTGTCCTTTTTTCTTTTATAAGCTGTGTTAAAACTGCAACATCAAGGGTAGAAAGATTTTTTTTAAAAAGGGGCGATTGCATTATTTCACAAATCATACTGGCCTCACGAACATGCTCTGCAATAAATATTCTTTTTAGCCTTAACTATAAATTATATATTTTAGTGTTTAAAAACCTTCAGTTGTAAAACATCTAGCGACAATCCTTAAACTATGTGTCCTATATGTGAACCTTTAAGGCCCCTAATTTATAAAGATGAGTTGGCACCAAAGGATTTCTAAACTTCAGCTTTTCTATAGAAAAGGATAGGAAGATATTCTGGCAATTTGTGAATGCGATTTCTCTCACTGGAACACAACCTTCGGAAAAAAAAATCACCTCTCCTCTAACACCATAGTTAAATGCACTTGCTTTGCAATTCCAAGTTTGCGAACAAGCACTTATATATTTCCAAACCATTCCATTAAAAAAAAATTCCCACACAATAAAGAATGTATTTCCTATATCTAATGGACTGAAAGTGCTTTGAATGGAATGGTTTTAGAATATTACAAACAAACAAAAAAAAAAGACTAAACTGTGGATTGAACCTGACCATAATTAGGCTGAATATCTGTGGGGTCAGACCAGCATTTTACACAGGTAACTACAAAAATATGAAGATTACAAAAATATAATATATTATGTCGCTATTTCGGTTTCTCTTTATAATAGAGTATCGTATGAGTAGTACATTGGCCTTTCCCAACAATGCTAAGCTGGAACCCTACAAATGCCTTATGCACAGGCAATCCACAGGCACAAAAAAAGATTAACATATAATAATGCTGCATACTAACATACACTAACTTATGGGTTACGTTAACCATTTATAAGGTGAAGAGGATAAAAAAAACCTAAGGAAATAAAATAAACATTTACAGATGAATTATAAAGTGACTAAATGCATAAGCAAGCAAGATACAGAAAAGCCTAGAACTGCGTTAAAGCTATGCTTTTTAAAGAAAAAAAAAAAGAATATTTCATTTACTATCTAAAAAAAAAAAAAACACCCTCTTCTACTTTAAAAATGGTTGGTTGGTTTTATATGTAGGAAATCAAATCTAATACCTCCCCTGGAGACATTTTGTGTGTTAATGCCTATTTTTACAACATACAGACAAGAACACTTTAATATAAAAACTAGTTGATTATTATTGTATAAAATCCTCTATTTTTGTAGCACAAACCCCTGGGGGTAATGCAAATACTATTTTTTTCTTTTTTTAAGACAGTTTTTGGGGTATTTTTTGTTTATTTGTTTGTTTGAAGTCACAGATGGAAGGGAGACAGAGCAAGAAAAAAATATAACGAGACTGGTTTTCCCTTCTGGTATAAAAATGTCCTGGAGAAAAGGGTTTCTGGGGGGGAGATCCTGATGCTGATTCCTTCTCAGATGCCCTTTCTTTGTCTGCTTTTCTCGCCAAGCAAACCCATTAGAAGAAGTCCTCTTAAATGTTCACATCTCGCACATCAGTAGGTGTGCAGGAAAGGTCTGCTTCATCCTCTACAGTCTTTGTTTCTGAAGATACGTTGTGCTGCTGTGCCTGACGTAGACTGGATTCAAGGAGGGATTCAATCTGTTCTTGGCAGGCTCGTAAACAATCCTAGAGAAGATTAAATGGAAGGAGAAAAAGACCCAGGGTCCTTTAGCAAAACAGTAAGATCACAGACCAAATACCATTTCTTGAAAAAGCAAGAGAAATATAATCAAGTTATTTGGGAGGGCAGCAGACTGAAAGGAGCGTGGGAAGAGCAAGAGAAACACTGTATAGCGAACGGATTGGACGAGCCACCCCGTTTTCTGCAGGATGCCAGCCTGGATCCAGACTTCAGCAAACTCTCACCATCTTCTATTTAATGGCCTAGGTGAACATCTCTGGTCCTCTGGACAAACCACGACTGCCATTTTGTTGTTAGTCTCAGCCCATAGGTCTACAACTGAATATGACGAACGCTCCACTACAATGACACACGTAGTAACTAAGCCGGGCAGGACCTTGACACCGTAAGATGATGTAGCTTGCACTGCTGCTTTTCTGCCTGCGCTGTTAACACTTCAGCATCCTATCTTTTACCCCACTGTCCTTTATACCTTTTGAAAAATAGACCAGTCTGACTGGACAGCAGTGTGAGTGAAGTTGCAAAGACATGAAACTGGGCTGGAGTCAGAGTTGGTCCCAGTATTGCTGATGCTGTAACGATTTCTACTTTTACCACAGAAACACTTCAGCAATACAGTCTACTAGAAGTGATGGTCATAAACAGTGAATTTTCCCAGGCTGAGTTCTGATAATACAAATTTCTTAAAAGTGCCATATATATATATATTTAGACGTACATGCCCGAAGTTGCCTGCCAACTGCTGCTATGTGCAGCACTGGGCAGCTCACGTTAGCTAACTGATTTCTAACTCAGAAAGCATCTGAACAGGAAAATGTACCAGACTGTATGACCCCAAAATGGAGAGATCTTTCAGAAGCATCGCTGAACACCTTCGTAACCATGCATTACGAAGTGCTGCCAAGCTTTCAGTTCGTTACTGCATTCACCTTGAAATCTCAGTCAGGGTGAAATCTCTTTCCTTTGCTTCAAAAGAGTCTTCTCAGGGCTGAACGCGCACACAAACCCACTGAGCGTTCAGGAGGGTGCAAGGGCCTCGCCGCTTGCACAGACTTTGGTGTGAACTAAAAGCATAAAGCACCAAGCAGGCTCATGTCTATGGTGGGGAAAGGTAACTTCCCCCGGGCATTAAACCATACCATGAGCAGATCTATCCAATTCTACTTATTGATCTGCAGCAATTAGAATAGGAGAAGACCTGTTAGCTCAACCTGTCCAACCTTGTGCAAGTTATGGTTGTATTCTCCAGAGCCATGTACATCCAGTGCAAGGACACAGAAATGGTGCCTTAAACAGGCAAAAGAATCACACTACGTTTTGCCAAAATTCCTCCAGTGTGCTGTTTACTCATATCTTTGTAACAAACATCGTAAGCTTTTTCCCAACATATTTAACTCTGTGTATTAAGGACTTTGAAGTCTCCTTTCAGTATTGCCTTTTCTGATTTAACCTATGACATGTGTTAGCCCTTGCAGTGAACCCAGTCTTCCATGATAAATTGCCGTCAAAAGTGTTAGGATGTGCATGACTGAGAATGAATGTTGTTTTCCTGAGAGGGTGACCTGCCTGCTGTTTTCTTTATTTCCCAGTTTCAATTCTGCCTTCATTCAGAGGCTTCTTGTGTGATCTACCAGCTTTTCACTGATTCCACTACCACAAGAATCTCCTCTGCCACCAATAAGGGCACATGGCATTTGGGGTAAAATAAGATTAGAAACCCAAGCAAACAATTCTCTGCGAGTCCTTTCTGAGAGAGAGGGAGGTTAATCCTACCTCTAAGCAGATCAGACCATCAGTTACAGCTCACTGAAAACACATAACCTATGACCTTTTCTGGTTTAAACCCTAGTGTAATATTTCCTCTTGACAGAGACACACAGCATTTTAAATGACAAAAAGAAACGCCTCATATCCTAAAGTCATCATGCCTTTGGCTCCTACATACCTCTGGCCTTCACAATAAGATCTCTGTGAAGTCCTTTCACCCCTTCCCAAGATACGACGGATCAATCCTGACTGTAAGGCTTCTACTTGCATGTCCTGTACCATGTACCTCAGTCACACTTGGAATTAGATGTATTAAGAGAGCAGTACATGCATACAGGTTTAGGCGTTTTCAGTTTTGAGGATAATTCTCTTTTAACAAGGTAGCATGTTCAGTGTTCCAAACTGAAAGCCAGTTTATTTTCAGAGCAAAATAAACCCTGTTTCCCTTTGATTTTGGGGGTGGGGGATATTTGGTGGGGTTTTGGTATTGTTTTTTTTTAATCCTATCATTTGCATATAGCGTGTTTGAGCTCTGAAAACTAAAACCATTCAAAAGAATTTCTATAAATACCTATTCTTCTCCCTCTGGAGTCCAGTCATGAATAATTACACAGACTATGTAATTTAAAGGTAATTTTTGACCACAGAAATTTTTTCCTATGAGATTCTCAGAGTACAGCATGTTGTAACTGTATTTTTTTAAAACATAATCTTTACAATTTATTATGAACAGACCGCTGTCTTAAGCTACAGTTGAATGAATATTTTTTTTTCATGTCGTCTGTCTTAGGCATTTTTGTTCAAGTAATTTCGTATTCAGATGACTATTAGATGAATAGTTTGTCTGCAGGAATGTATTAGAGCTAGCAAAAATATAACGTTCCCTGTGAACAACCTCAGCAAAGCTTTTTTCATTCTCAGCACTCCTCAACACTGAAAAGCCAATACAAAACTTGTGCATTACTCTGATAACTTCTCCCAACAACTTTTCCGCTTCACTACCCAAATTTTCAATGCCCACAGTTTGTTCAAGGTCATAAACCCTTCCTGGATTAATTAAGCTCCTCGGTGAAAAAAAAAAAAAAAGACTTGCTAGCTTAACTGATGTGGTCAAATACCTTTAACACACAGTAGACATGATCAGACTCCAGGGTCAGATACTAAAGGAAACAAACAACAACAAAAAAGAACCTGCTTGGAAATCCTTTGTTGCTGCCTGACCCATTCTGGGTAACAAGCACGTGTTTGAAGGTGCCTCCGAGTAGGGGAAGGCAGGAGACGAATTCCAGTGTACTAACGGACAGCATGGAAACCCCACCTAATCTAGTTTAGCAAATTTCTGGCCTGGAAATGAATGTCAGGTAAAATTCAATCTGTTTGGATGATGGGGTCAAGAATAGAATGATGGAAGACAGCCCAAGACTTCTAATTGTGATTATCTGACTTCTAATTACCCCTGATCAAAGGCAAAATGGGAAACTGGACTCCTACCAACGTAAACATGAACCATAAAGGAATTCCAATCAGGTGATATTCATTTTACTTTAGATTCAGCTTTCTTTGAGACTAAAGGTAAAAAAGTGTAATTATATAACCTGAAATCCAACAGACCAGCTGCTCTAGCTAATAGATAATCAGGGAGAATGTTAGCCGTGTTATAATGCATGCTCTTAATATTTCAAGACAATCCAATATAAAGTGTATTCATTTGTGCGGTCTGACAAGGGGAACCATCACTGTGGAGTAACGAAGTTTTCAGATACATGCTAGTGAAATAAGATAATAGGAACGACATTTCATACCATGGATTGCATAGGCACCTCTTACGGGAAATCCTCTATGCAGGGGAATCATGCTACGTATGAAACCAGTCTTCTCTATTCAAAGCAACAGTAGTGAAAAATGCTCTTCCCTTATTCCATTACAAACACAACAGTATACATATACATAGGTATAATTTTATGATCCTTATTTTCTGTACAAAACCTATACAAAAACCTCACTTCTAACTTCAGCTGCTCTGACACATGAATGTATTTAGCCATGAAAGCTGGAGAGGAGTTACTTCCTTTTAAAGCTCTTAACTTTAAGTTCAGGTCATGCAGACTGTGGCCTTGCAATGACTCTGGACAATAAAAAAGAAATAAGCAAGGATTCTCCTTCTTCTACTTTCTTTTCTTTTAAAAGAAGAGCTCTGTCATCAACTAAGTCGAGTCACATAAGGACATGCTGTTGTTCTCCAAGATGTGAGAGAATCTACTTCAATGCTTTGTATCGGGAATGATTAAATAATGTTTTTGTTTGAAACAGATACTGTCAGAACAGATAGCGAGCCTAGTATTTTTCCTCATTACCTGCTTCAAATATCTCGCACTGGATAGTGGCCAACCATACACTGAAATATCTACATTGTTCACAAACTGCCTAAAAGCATTACACGTACATACCAAACTGAGCAGCATTTTATTTCAGCATTTGAAGTTCTTACAGTATTTAACATTTCAGCACTGGATCCATATTACTTTAGCTGCAGTAATATAAATGGCAAAAATAACGTGCTCAATACTGAGGCATTATTAAGGTGATCAAAATAATAAGCTGAGGTATCATATTTGTCAGCAATTGTTTCACATCGTCTGTCAAAAGTAAAATATTCTTTTGTGAATAATTAATTATGATGCATTCGTCCTTCCAGAAATCACTCAATCCTGTCAACAAAGTCCAATTATACAAACCTAGTTTTGCAGTGTCTGGACTAGTACAGTTCTCCATGTATTTAAATTATTAACGTGTAAAATAATTTAACAGCATCTCAAAGATACTGCCGCTAACCACAGAGTTGTCTTTATTTGACTCATTGTCCAGCGCTTGGAGACCTCACAAGAACCTTTTTAAAGCATCTATTTATTGGTCCTCCACATTGTTACAAAACAAAGCTCAACTCTGCCCCAACTTCACACACCATTATGACATGGATCATTGACTTTAGGTCTTCCTTGTAGGCTCCCTTCCTGGCCCATTCACTCATGAAAGGTTTATTGCTCACTAGTTACTGATGTGCATCTCCTGGAAGCTGCAGGGCAAAATGAGAGTCCTGTGAGGACCATCTACCTTGTCAGAAAGTCGTGGGACAAGCATTTGTTCCAAAAAGGAATTCAATACCAGCTACTGTGCAGGTCTAGCACGTAATAAACCAAATTAGATCATTAGAACTCTTTTAAGAAGGGCTTTTTCACACCACTTGGCACAATAAAAGGCCTCAAGAATGGTCAAAGATAAGGTCAGAGATACCACGAGGTCTCAGTGACTATTTCCTCATCTTATTTTCAAAGTTTTGTTTTACATAGGCTCCTGGTTTAATTACCGACAGCCAAACACAGCCTCTGCAATGTCCTAAATCGATGCAGGGTTTCCTTTGCTTTGTCAGATACGCCTCTCTTACAAACATTAGAGCTGGATGTGGCATGCCTATCAGCAAACTGCAGCAGCGTAATCACCGATTATTAATGGGTATAATGACAGCTAAATAACTAGGACGGACACAAGAGAACACGTTCAAAAACCCCGCTCTGCGGTTTGACTTTTATCAAGATGTACTGTCAGATTAGCTACTATGCAGTAAGCAGGCATTCATTCTTAAACTCTAAGGCAGGAGATCAACCGAGAGAAAGAGTCACTTACCGGATCACATTTGATAACTTGTGATAGGAAATGTGTGAGGCATTGATAGGAGAGGAAAGTGTTAGTGTTCCCCAGATGCAGGCCTTGCACAGCTGCTACCACACTGCCAGCTGCGATCATGGAAGGCGGGTTTGAAATAAATTTAATATCTGTATGAAGAAAGAAGAGAAGAAAAAAAAAAAAAAAGAAGACTGAAATGATTGCTTTAGGAGAAGCCTGCCCATACACATACACTCTTCTACCAGCATGGCTTCAGCTGCCAACTATTGCACCCGAAAAGGTAGGGAAAATTGTGAGCAGAAGGTTGCCTCCTGCTCTAAACTGTTACAGGCCCAAACCTGTAAACACTTATCCACATGAGCAACTGTACTTCAGCGAGTAGCCCTTCCTAGCGCTAAGCCTGGGCGGCCATTCATCGCTTCGAGGTATTTTTATCATAAGCAGGGCCCCCATTCTTCAAACGTTAAAATACTTCGCTCGTGTGAATAATGCCACTGGGGCCAGTGGCACCGGACATCTGAGAAAACCTGCTCGCCTTCTGCAGCGTTTCGCATGATCGGATCCTAGGTGCCCTCTAATAAGGAGTCCTCGGGGCCTTTAAAGCAGAAACCTTTGCACTGACATTCAAAGGAATATAGCTTTAATGAACAACAACATCAACAAAAAGAAAGAAAGAGAAAGACTGCTTAACCCTGTCACGAGGCAGATAATCCATATTTAAATTAAGGTTTCATCTTAAAAATGCTTTGTCTCAACCTAGTCTCTTGTCAGTGGCTGCCATCCATCCTGGCAACAGGGATTTAATGTAAATGTGGCATAACTAAGTGACGGGGGTCCCAAGAATTGGCGGACAATCAGTTACATTCTGATGTGACACCATGCTGACAAGAGGCTGGGCCCCCTTCCAGACTGCATTGCTGTAGGTCTCTCCACAAAGCCACTCCCATGATTCCTTAAGGGGCTATCTCTGCCATTTAGCATGTTTTTGGTTTGGTTTTTTGTTTTGTTTTGCTGGGTTTTTTTTTTTTAATAAGAATAATCCACATTTTAATGCTAAGACTCTTTCTGCCGAACAGGAATGCGTTTGATCCGTGGCAGTGTACACCTTGGAGGAGAATCAGAAACAAAGGAAGTAAGTGGCACAAGTAAACGTCTAATTTTGTGAGGAAGAAAGGGAAATGCCACATTATACACGAGAACCTGAGATACATTCCTTCAGCTTTTATCAGAATACAACTTCCTCTGGGTTGAAAAAAATATAAACCATCTGTCAAACCCTTGAATGAAATCAAAGGCATGGACAGCTTAGAGGGCTCAGTGGAACAGTTTAAGTATTAAATCATGCATCTCCTTTATTATGATAAAATAACTTTTGTGTAAATGTTTTACCAGTGCAACTAAAGACTTTGGGACTCTATGAAAGTCCTCTCTCCGAATCTATTCATATACCTCTGACGCTCCATTGTAGCCCTGACCGATACCCACCTTCAAAGGGGCATTTCGCCCAGCGTTCTACGGACCTTCAAAACTGAACTGATACAATGAAGTGTGGCCAAACTTTTGTGATGCACTGCCAGCGAAAAGGCAAGCTTCATCTCAAGTCATGGCATTTACGTTACCGTGCTTAAAATACATGTAGTTTATCCCCTTTTCCTAATCTGCCCATTTCCGGGCAGATGTAAATACACCCAGCTTCTAGCAAGCTTCTGTCATTCCCCAAAAGCAAAGTAGCCCAGATGGTTTATTGACCCTGTACACACTCCAAGGCCAGTCCCCTAACTGAAATACCGATAGGCAGTTGCAGGTAGACCTCAGAAATGAGGGATTTCAGTAGGCAAGCGTGAATTCCACCAAGATTGGGTTGCTCGGAGGGGTACGGTGGCAGCGTGTTCGCGATGCTATTTACTGAGCTCCACAAAAACAGAACATGACCAAAATGTGTCAGTTTAATGAGTCTGTCCTGACAGGATCATGTTTGGGATTAATATTTGCGTTCTTCTTTTAAATGGCGCAGTAAACAAGAACATGAATTCATAGTCACACCCTCATTCTTTCCAAGGTGGAAAAGTGATAATGAAGTTTAAATGACCAGTTTGTGTCTGTCCCTATAACCACTCCAGACAAGCAGCATGGACTGCCTTTTTGTTGCAACTCAACAAGGAATTATTTGTGGCAGAGGCCACTAATTTCAGCATATTAATCAGGGGGCCCCTCTCGCCTGTAATTGGATGCCCCCAAGTGAAGAGTGTGGCATCATTGTCAGCCTCCATCGCCTCATCTTGCGCTATTGAGCGCTCAGGAACAAGGGGGCTTCGGTGAGATGAATTAGACCTGACACAGCCACAATGGGGTAGGGGGCCCCATCAATTGAAGCACACATCCCCAGTAGCCTATCTGAGACTTCATCCAAAAAGAATAAACAACTTCAGCGTTGTTAAAAAGAGAGAGAGAGAGAGAGAGGAGGGGGAGGAGAGAGAAGAATGCCAGCCACCCTGAAGGGAGGACAAAGCAGGCATATAGGCGCTGCAGCGCTTTAAAAAAATTCCTAACAAGGCGAGTCACCCCTTTTCCTTTTTAAATGGAGCAGCAATTCCATCCGTCTGGAGAGCTGGGGGCTATGAATGAAAATCTTTTCATTGAGGCAAATCAAAACTGCGAACATAAATCACTTGCTGCAAGATGCAACAGGTTCCAACTGGTCACATACCTTGAGACTCCCAATTTTATAAAGGCCAGAGAATAGGAGAATTGTAACACGCTTGTTTCAAAGGGGGATCTTTCTTTCTCCATCCGAGAGGAGGAAAGCAACAACAATAATAGCAATAATAATAATATAAAAGGAGCCTGGTATGTTTTGATAACCAGAGGTACATAATGAAATGCTGAAGCTCCAATATTTGTTGCTATTCATTGTTATGCTTGTATAGAGCTGCAGTTCTCCCTCAACACTGGTCTTAACTTGGGCCAAAAGAGGCCTGCTTCCTTTTGAGCTCTCCCTGCCTTGCTCGGCCATGCCAAAGCCCCATTCATTAAGCTCAATTATGTGTTAACTTCAAACAACCTCTGGTAATTTTTTTTTTTTTCTTTTTCTCCTGAACCTACCACAGCACAAAGACAGACCTTTGGTGAAAATGGATTTTTCAAAACTAAACCGAATCAAACAAATCCACTTCTACTAGCCAGACAACTGAAGAGGGAGCTTAGAAGGAATTCCCCTCAACTTCACCTTGCAGCGTAACCTCCTCTTTCTGGAGCAAGCACATGCACACTCATCTACAAACACTTCCACAGCCTTCTCCTTGTTAAGTCAACTGGCGGAGATTTTATTTTCTAAGCAAGCATTATTTTGCTGCCTCTTCTTAGGAGACCCTCCTTTACAGCAGAGGCCACAGGCAAAGGATATACTTCAAGCAAAGGATATACTGCCCTTGGCCCTGGGGCCACTCAAGCGAGTGTCAGTGTTTCCAGTGGACTTTGGATTGGGCCCCACAGCATCCAGGCAGCACAACGCATTTGCAGTCCATCTAGGTTCATTTTGGCAAGGAGAAATACAACACAACCCAGCAACAGCAAAGCAAAGTCCAGATGCTACTTAAGCCACATGTGATCTTCACTAGCCAACAAAGAAGTCATGAGGAAAGCAAGAGGTAGAGAAAATCCTGACATCCAAAAATAACAATAAAAATACAGAGCCTAGTGGCAGCCTTCCTGAGCGCTCTTTCCCCAGGCAATATTCCCAACTTCAGTAGGGAGCTGAAGAGGGCCCCAGTTCTGGTGAGCTCAGCGCTGGTTTTTTTAAAAAGCTAAGTAAAACTCCCAGAACATGGTTCTCATTTACTGATCCATTCTCCAGCTGTGGTGTGTAGTAGCGTTAAATAAAGGCTCTGGATGTGCTTCCTAAAAGAAACATAACAACACCGACAGTAGATCAAAGTACTGGACTCTTAGCAAGTCTCCAACCTTTGAACTACTCTTGTTTTCATCCCTGTCATTGCCAACACAACAACCTAGGTTAAACATCCCCATATCCAAAGGGGAGGCCGGGTAGCTGCTCTTTTTAGCTAACAGCCGAGGAAGCTTCGAACTTCGCGAATCGCGCATTCAGAATCGCAGCGGCCTTATCTGGTAGAATCTGGCACGGCGAGTTAGCTCTGATTTTCCCAAAATGTTGCTGCAGGTAGTCTGAAGGCTGTTTGAAGGCTGTAGCGCTCCGAACGCTGCGCGTTATTCCAGGCAATCTAACTTACGACCCGCCCGTTACGCTGATGTTAGGCCCAAGATGAAGAGCAATGCCAGTGTTTATAAATTTCTCTTTTATGGCTTGGTCGTTCTATCTTTAGGCCTTGCAGCAGGGCCGATTCTGTGAAATAAAGTTTTTCTTCTGAGTGCCTGCAATCTTTCTTCCATCTTTTCATACCAAATCCATCTCTGGAAAATAAACTACACCACCTTAATTTGTGCCATTGATCGCACACATCCCACCGAGGTTTTTCAAGTGCGGATACCTCTTCTCAAGTCCACATGCAGGCTTGATCTCTTTTTTTAGCACAACTGCTACTGAATATTAACATTTACTAAAGCACGGTATCTCCTTTACACTAAGTTTTTATCAGTGTCAACAGAGCGTCTGGCATTCCTCTTTACGTGCTACTGCAAAAGAACATTTGCTTTGGCTGCTTTTTCTTCCTTATTCTTTTGCCATTCCTGGACTGGTCTCGCCATACTAGAAGAAAACGCGCTGAACACGTTTTGTTTAAACAGAGTTATCTTCCCTCTAGAACTTCTTCTGTCCCTGCTCCTCCACTCTGTCCTGTGGGAACAGCGAGATCTGGAGAACAGAAGGGCTCTTCCAAAACTCTTTTTTCCTTCCCGCTTGCTAGGGTTCAGTGGGTAAAGCTGGTCCACGTACGAACGCACGCACGCAGTCCGCATGCAAACATGGAACTTCAAATAACCGGGGCACGTGTGCGCGCACGGTGCCCTTGAAACCAAAGATCGGGCCTCTGCAAACCTGGCCTAGCGAACGGTCGGCGGCGTCTCTGGAGGCCGGCCCCGCACATGGCTTCAGCGCAGCACGTGGTCGGAAGGGTGCAGATGGCAGCAGCTCGGTCCTGTGCCAGGAAAGCCTCTGTGCCGCGTGGCCCTCCTCCAATCCACCAGCCACCGAGGAGGGGGGGAAGAGGCGACTTGAAGAGGGAAGTTTTAAAACCCCCACGCAGAGCTATTCACAAGCAAAATCTCCCTCCGCCTTTAAAAACTGTCTTAAGAACGAATCCACCCGGGGAGGGATTCCCCGTACGGGCAGTAAGCCTTTTGCAGCCCCCGCATAAAACCCGACGTACAGAGGCGAAGAAATCGTGCCGCGCTGAGCTGCGGCTCCACGGCTAAGCTACAAAGAGGGGGGTACTTCTCCCTCCCCGACAACACCACATACTCAACTCAGAAGCAAAATATCTTCTGAAAAAAACTTACCTCTGCAAATTAATCCACCTTCTGCAAACAACAAGGGGCAATAATCGGGGCTTAAACTACCTCCCCGCAGCTCTGGGAGCGCGCTTTAGACCACAGCTACGGGAAGCTCTACAGGCTGGGGGGTAGGCGCCTGGAGGGGAGCAACGCGCTTTGCGTAACGTGCAGGGCTCATACCTGTAGCGCACAGAGCCACAAAAGTCTGAGCATGTTTACGGATGATCTGCTTGGTGTCCTCTGCCAGAGGCATTTTAGTAAGGAAATGTTCAATGAAATCGTGGGGGGTCATTGCAGCCAGATTCCATTTCAGCTTATTCACCAGAAGCAGCTCCATTTGCTGCAAAGACAAGAGGGAGGGAAGGGGGAAGAAGAGAAGAGGAAGGAGAAGAGGGAAAACGTGGTTAGCGCCGCTCACACACCCTCGGACGAGCGGCCTCCGCGGCGCGGCCCGCTCCCCCGGCCGGGGGCGGGCGTCCCCCCGCTGCCGAGCCCCGGCGCAG